TATAACTGGAGAGACTAAACACCATCATATCACTAACCAGGGGACTACAATGCCACCTTCCCACAGTATATTTATCTCATATGTTTACAGGAATTTCTCCTGGACAGAAAAGACAGACACTTTTCCTTTCTCAACAGGATTGTTTACCCAAGACATTCTGTACAAAGCCAGAGAACCTAACATAATCCTTGCTTCAGCAGCAGGAACCAGAATCTAAGTCCACAAAAACTCCTCTCTCTCAACTATACAAATTGGAAGTTCAAAAAACTTACTCTCCCTGCCAGTACAAAATAAACCCTCTCAAATATTTGCAACAAGTTTCCAATTTTATTTTTTTTAAGTATCTCTAATTAAACATTTCTACGTTTTCCTGAAAAAGCTACCCCAGGAATACGCAGAAGCCAGAAAAGCAACCATGAAGTTTTCCTCTGGCAGCCTCTTAAAGCAGTTTACGCACAGCCTTTTCAAACACTTAGAGGACACTGATATTATGGAATAAAGCATTGCATCCCCCCTTAGAGTAAGTGAAACGTGGTGGTCAATCCTACACTTCTACAGAATTCCCTGACAAACTGAAATACAGACAAGGATTGACACATGACAAGGACTGCACCATAGTTATGTCATTTCACAGTGTGAAGTTTAGCATTTAGTCTCTGTTATCTGATTACATTTATTGTGCTATATGCAGCAGTACTCGATGGTGGAGGGATCTGCTAGAGCAGAATGAAGCGTTAACACTGACATGAAAAGAGAAGAGAGCACATGTCCTATGAGACATCAAGTGTTTGGTTTTGTTTGCTTTTCTATTTATTTCTTCACATCAGTAAATTAACAACTGTTGTGCAACCTGTTCTTTTCAGAGATACCATTAAGTCTGGAAAGCAGTTAGCCTGGTAAACTCTGCCCTAGCCTACATAAATCAAGCACAGGGAGTCCTGTTTAACCTAAATTTAAGATTTATTTTTGTCCTGGGGAGTTCTTGTGTGCATTATTATTGCA